TTGGCTGTCGACTATCTGCACGATAAAAAAGTGATTCACCGTGATCTCAAATTGGGCAACCTGTTCCTCAACGGGGAACTCCAGGTACATCAAGAAAATCTTCAACACTTTACTTTGCTTACTTGCAACTCTTACCCTAGGTTAAAATCGGAGATTTTGGTCTGGCAACTACTGTAGATAATGAAGGGGAACGAAAGAAGACTCTGTGTGGTACTCCTAATTATATCGCACGTGAGTTTGATTTATTACTATTGGATATACCTCGATAAGCAATCTCAAGTAAATTTGATTTTCACTTTATATTTGTACGGTCTGCGAACCCAGTTTTTGGAATCTTTGCATCTTCTTTAATTTTTGTTTTGAAAATCATCTTAAAGGAATAATCAGTTATTGAGGTGGAAGCTAATTTTTCGTCGTATTCCGTCTATCTATGATTCTCCGCAGACATTATGTTACATGAAGTGCATTACTAAAATACTATGATAAAATTTCAGCTGAGGTGCTTGACAAGAAAGGACATTCATTCGAAGTTGACATATGGGCAATAGGTTGCATACTGTACACGTTACTCTTTGGCCGCCCACCTTTTGAGACAAAATCGCTCAAGGTTTGTTACAATCAAATCTACAATTTTCTTCCTCGATGATGTTTTTGTAGGAGACATACAGCCGCATCAAGTTGAACCAGTATCGAGTTCCTTCTACAGCCTCCCCTACTGCTGCTCATCTCATCCAGAATCTGCTTGCGGCTGATCCTGCAAAGCGTCCCACTGTGAAACAGGTAGAGAATAGTATTCACATTTTTTATGGTCACATACTGCTAACTATCTAGTAACACAATCTTATCAAGCAGTTTGTCTCTTACACATTCATAATTTCCTCTCCTGTATTTCCTACCTCTATGAAGATGGCAGGTAACCTGTGGTTTGTCTGCTTTAATGATTACGACCTGCCGCAGGTTTGAAGGGCCACACTTTTGAGATATAAAAGCGGTACTTTATAAATTTCTGGTAGCTAGATCAGAAGTTTGTTAAACATTTTGTATCAATTAGCATTCTTCCCTCTACTTCAACTTTGTGTATACTGCTTTTCCTTCTGTTTGTCTGGAGAACAAAAAGTTCATTTTTCGCGTCGCTGAATTTTTTCTAATTTCAGCATTATTTCAGGTGTTGGCGCATGAGTTCTTCCGTTCTGGTTTCATGCCCACAAGGCTTCCGATTTCCTGCCTCACGATGGCGCCCAAATTCACTCGTCATAGCGAGGTTTGTTATATTCTAGATTCAGGGCCAAAATATAAAGGAGAAGCACGTTGCTCCTTCCAAAAAAGTCCATTTTCTTTGCGGAATGTGAGCACATATTTGCAGGTGGGTATACCAGCTCCAGTCGATCGTCGTGCGGTTCCTGCTGGTGTGCTTAGCCCCAAACAATTAGTCAAGTATGTTCCTGAGCAGATTAGGTTATTGAACTATCGAGAATATTGCAGACAAGATCTCATGGGTGCACATCCACGTGCCCTCAATGCAGTGCCAGAAAACAAAGCTATAGATGGCGAACGTGTTGACAGAGGTACTGTTGTTTTTACTTCCTCTTTTTAATGTTTGTTCAAGAACTTTTTCAGCTGTTGCATGCGCGAAGGTTCCCGAGGATGTATATTTGTCCGAGCTATACGAGCAGATCTCTTCGCTTGTTTCCGCGCGAGTTCCAGAGGTGATCTACCTTCGTATTCGCTGGTTTTGGTTGCATTTTTTACTTTTTTAGCGGCAACTGCGGGTGGAGGATGAAGCGCCGGAAGCCATGCCTATCTTCTGGATTAGTAAATGGGTTGATTATTCCGACAAGTACGGGATTGGTTACCAGCTTTGCGACAACTCGGTATGTTCGTCGTCTTTTTTTAATATCCGCTCCATTCACAGTGCTGCTTTTTATCTTCCCTATTCTCCAAAATGTTTATAAGAAGCTGCTCAGATAATTATTTTTTCAAATCAATTTGTTCTACCTTTTACCTTATAATCTGTTTATATGTCGGGAACGTTTTTTTCCTGTTCTAAACGTTTCATTATAAATTCAGGTTGGAGTGCTGTTCAACGATAGTTCCAAACTTGTTTTGGATGAGGCGGGTAATGAGCTGACCTACATCGAGAAAAACGACAAGGAGAATTACTATGCTATTGACTGTTTCCCGGACTCTCTGGCTAAGAAGGTACGGTAAAGCTGTGGTGCTTCATCTTCGGACCACGATTTTATTTCAGGTTACGTTGCTGAAATATTTCCGAACATACATGAATGAACATCTTATCAAAGCGGGAGCCCATGTAGTGAAAAAGGTTAGTTTAATCTTCTGACAAAATTTTCTTGGAATGGTTCTGTTTAGGATGGAGATGATTTGGCTCGCCTCCCGGTGCTTCGTTATTGGTTCCGCACTCGATCTGCCATAGTTCTGCATTTATCTAATGGAACATTGCAAATCAACTTCTTTGAGGTTGTTTCTTGGAAACGATTATCCGTGAAATTTCTGGATTTGATTTCAGGACCACACGAAAGCAATAGTCTGCCCTTTGATGGGTGCTATCACTTATATCGATGAGCAAAGGAACTTCCGAGTTTATAAACTGTCACACCTCGAAAAATATGGATGTACCACAGTAAGTTTAAGTCATGCTTTTATGAAGTTATGATGCTCTTCTGCTCACATGAACGTGATGATTCAAATATTAGTTGCGCTGTTTCACTATGTGAGGTAGAGTGCTGATCATCTGGGTGTGCTTTTCTTTTACTAGTATTACACCTTCCACATTCGTGTCACTTTCACAGTGACAGTAAAATCCATATCAATAGGTATATAGGCTGCTGCATGACGAAGGCGCAATAACTTTAGGCACAAACGCGGCGCTATTAGCCGCAGAGCGCATGAGGCGCATTACAGCGGTGAAGGTACGCGCGCGCCGTTCGCGCCGCTCAACTATGCTGCTTCTGCGCCTTCGTCATGCAGTAGTCTTTACAATATAGGCTTCTGTGTCCAATTCAATTCAACATGTTTGAGGCTGAGGTGAAGCTTCTCTAGATTTTTCGATTCTATATTATTGCAGGCACTGATGAGCCGATTGCGATATGTTAAAACTATGGTGGAACGACTGATGACCTCCAACAACTCCCGACCCGGATCAATAAGCACTGTGCGGGTTAGATTATTGTCAAAAAATGAGTAGAGTAGTGCTTACCCTGAGTAACAAACAAGAACGGTTCGTGGTGGGCCTCGCCGTGCGACTTACAAGCGACTTCTGCGATTTACGGTCTACAAGCTGAGCTCTTCCTCCTTCCCAAGTCTTAGCTTTTTCTTCAAGCAAACCTGATTCACTAAAGCGAAGTTGTCTTTTACCAGTGCTTTTTGATACTTGGCAACAAATGATCTCTTCCGTGGTTTAACTAGCGAGGAACCGGATTCGACAACTTGGGCCTGAAAACAAAATTTAGTTACAATTTATTCTTCGCGATATCTTTGCTGCCTAGTCGTGCTAAGGCAGCATAGTATGAGGTGCAAGTTTTTTTGACGGAATATCAGAACGGTGGAAGTCACTGTTATACATGCTGAATAATTGTCGATCAGAGAGGCCCAAGATGATGTGAATTGCATCCAAAAATCAAATGATCTACAAGAAAATTCTTCAACATGGAATGATGCTTTCAACCCAACTTGTCTTTTCAGACGCGATCATCATCAGCAAGTGGTGGTTCGCAGACTGTTCGACCTCAACGTCTATGAGAAAGTTTCTGAATTGAATGCATCAACTACTAGCAAAAGACTGTAAATTTTTTTTTCGTAAGCCTGTGCATTTTCTAGGCAGACATTCCTGATGACATGAGTTATTTTATCAAATATCATTGTTTGCATTGTGTCTAATCTCATTTCATCCAAATCTTAGTTAACTGGAACTCTGCTCATATCTGTGCTGATATTCATCTTGACTAATCTCATCTGTTTACCTTGAAAAACAACGTGGTGGTAAGATTTCCGACGAACTTTCTGAATGCATATCACTTGGTTTATGCGCTGTTCATTATGTCCAAATGTGATTATAGCTACTGATTTGCTATAAAAGTGAAAACATAAACTCGGTGTTGAATTGTAAATGAGTGTTATGTGACACAGAGTATTTTTTATGCATCCACAGCATACTTGTCATTGATTTCGCAGTAAAGCTTACCAGTTTCTTTATCACGTTGACGACCGTGTGCATATGCGCATATGCACGCCCT